ATCCTATTAATGGAGACATTGAATATTGTAAAGAATTATGTGTTTGAAGATATGTCCTTCACCGAATAGTTATGCTGTGCAACCGAATGTACCATGCGCATGGTGCATACGATGCAAAACGACGTTGTTTTGACTAAAAACGCGCGTCCCACTTAAAAAAAAAAAATCAGGTTCGATTCTCGGCAATAGCATTATTGTGGATATATAGTTATGAATTTCTGGATATATAGTTATAAATTTGTGGATATATAGTTATGAATTTATGGATATTTAGTTCATTCATTGTGGATATTTAGTTCATTCATTGTAGATACTTACTTCATTCATTCACTGTAGATATATAGTTATGAATTTATGGATATTTAGTTCATTCATTGTGGATATTTAGTTCAATCATTGTGGATATTTAGTTCATTCATTGTGGATTTTTACTTCATTCATTCATTTATTGTGAATTTTTACTTCATTCATTTACTGTGGATATATAGTTATGAATTTTTGGATATATAGTTATGAATTTTTGGATATATAAAAATGCTATTACCGGGAATCAAACCTGATTTTTTTTTTAAGTGGGACGCGCATTTTTTTAATCAAAACGGTGCCGTTTTACAACCGTATACACATTGCAAGGTGCATTCGGTTGCACAGCATACTTTGCGTCCTTCACCTACTCCCGCGAGACAACTTCGTGGATAAGTTTTCTATTTACAAATATATAATTGTCTCCTTCGAACAAAAGATAAGCCGTGCCCACAAATGTCAAAAGTGAGCGAGTTTCGAAGTATGAACAGAGGCGATCGAGTCCAAAATATTGTGGGCGAGTTCTGAACATCGTGGCCCGTAAACCCGGGTTGGCTGTCACCATTCTCCATCACTCCGTAACATTGTGGCTATATATATATATATATATATATATATATATATATATATATTCTAGATTAATTTTAAATCTTTAAAATTCGTGCTCAAGAGCTGTTGAAGAAGATAAATAATAAGTGTCTCAAGCAACCTCAGTTAATTCTCTGTTCTTGTTATTAGAGTTGTGACTTTAGGTTAGATGGTCCATCGAACTAACCTGCGGAAAAACTTAGTTGTTAAGTTTTGTAATACACATTTTGAGAAACATATCATTGTCTCCTTCGAAAAGAAAAATTAAAAAAGGATGCATACAATTGTCAATGGTTTCACACGATTGGAGGCGATCGAGGCCAAAATATTATATATTTATTGGTTCACACTAAAAGGTGCATATCTCCATTGTTCTGGTTTGCAAAATGCACGCGTCTTTACTAGTACTTATTTTTACACTAGCCACAGAAAAACTATTTTCTTGTTGAATTTATTTTCGTCGAAGGAAGTAAATTACGAACTGTCATATATATAGTATTCACTTCTTTATTGACATTAAAATTCCTTTTTATTTACTGATTATTGTAAATTTGTCAACCTCATTCTGTATTAAAAAAGTGGGGCTTTGATTGTTTGTGTGATGTGGAATTGCAAAAAAAACAAAACAAAACAAAAAATTGAGTCTTTGGGTTTTTATTTTGGTTTATTTGCTGGGTTTTTGTTTTGTTTTTGCATTGTTTTTTGCCCAATTTGATAAAATAATTAGCTTATCAGTCAATTTTGACTTATTTGATCACTATTAGTTTTTTGACTTGGTTAAATAATCAATATTGAATGTTTGATTAATTAGCATTTTGTAACAGCTTATTACCCCAAAATACTAAAATACAAAAAGTAGCTCAAAGTAGCTTTTCTGATCAGTTTTTTTGAAAAAAGTCATTTTGCATGTAATCAGCTATCAGCTAACAGTTAATTTACCAAACACTTTTCTACCATCAGCTAATGTTATCAACTAGTTAAACTAATAACCCAATCAGCTAATATCTATTTACCAAACACTTCATTTGTTTATCGTTTTGTGCTCTGGAGTTTGATATACTGTGGACTGGTGCAAAACGAAAATTAATTGAAATGTTAGAAACTTGAGATTATAATGGTTTTATTTAATTTTGATTTTGCAGAATGGGATGATTGAATTATAATTGTTTTTCTTGTGGGTATCCAAAGGCACAGATTGAAATTTGGGAAGTCTGCAGAAGTTTGGAATTTGTTTTTTTGTATGATAATAGTGTGGGCGTGTGGCACTGTAAGTCAGGGCCGGTTTTTAGATTTTTATGGTTCTGTTCGAATAAATAAATAAGGCCCTATCAAAATTAAAATAACTAATACCGTAATTTTATTATCAAAATATATAACACAAAAAAATTATCAGTGCATCGCACGCACACTGCACGGATAATTGGGCAATTATTTGCTCGAATTCAAGCAAGAATAACATAAAAAAATATCATCGATACAACCCATTTCATCAATTACACTATATAATATTCGTTGTTATAATTTAAAGATTATAACAAATCTTTTCCGTGCAACGCACAAGTAAAAATAGACATTATGGAATAATAATAGTGTGCACAAGTTTTGAACCTTAGACCTCAAAGTTAAAATATAATAAATACATGTTCTTACCATTTGTTTATAAAGCCTTTTAAGTTAAAAAACTTTCAATTTTTATTTATAAACTAAGTAAAAATAAAATATTGAACTTCTAAAATTTGGGGCCCTGTGCAGTAGCCCAGTTTGCACAGCCCAAAATCCGGGCTGTTTTCCAACTTTCTTTTTTGGGGTGTGAAAAACAAGATAAGATTTGAAAAGGGAAAAAGTGAGTGGGAAATGAAACAAGATAAGATTTGAATAGGGAAAAAAATGAGTGGTTGCGCTACAGAAGCTTCAATCCTTTACTGCTAAAGCATTACTCTATGTAGTTTTTACTTTGCAGGTTTCTTTATGTAGTCAAAGTTAAGTGAAACCACATAGAGAGTCTTTATCACCAAGGACCTGTTTATTTTTCATTGCATTTGCCTTCGCATTTATTGCTGCTAGCTTGCAAGTTTTGAATCCTTTCTTGTGCAGAAATTAGTTTATGTTGGTAGTATATAGGTAAGGTATATAGGTAAAATCATTGTTTTGGTTCATTTTTTTTTTTGGATGCTACTGACTCTATTACAATGTAGTCACAAAGAGCCAAAAACGCTTCCACTGAGGCTCAAAATTACAACCTCCCATATGAGAATCCAACTCGGGTGTCATCTGTGCACAAGGTGCTTGGCATTGTTTTGGTTCTTAAATTGTTTTAAAATTGTTAATTTAGTTCCTAACTTTTAATTTGAACGAATGGACCCTCTAATTGTTTTAAATTTCGTTAATTAAATCACCTAGTCACTATTTCGTCAATCAGTCATTAACTCTCTCAGAAGATTTAATTGACGAAATTTAAAACAATTGAATGATCAATTTGTTCAAATTATAAATTAACGAAATTGTGGTAGAGTAACTTCTCAAAGGTTAGTGTGAGAAAAGATTGAATTAGAATTTCAGCAAAAGATCACCCTCAATGGGATAAAATGAAACTAAAAAATAATTTGGATTGGATGAGAAATAGGCGGGATTAGGGAAACAACTAAAAGGAAAAGAGACTAGATTAGGATAAGATCATCAAAAAGAAACTATTAGTGTTACTGATGAGTGGTGAGCTTTAAAAGTTAAGTTTAGTTTTCTCTTTCATTATCTTATTTGCTTTAGATGAATAAATATAACCATGCAACTTAGTAGATGAATCTTCATGCATTTTATCTGTGAACTATATAATAAACATCTCTAGCAAGTTGATTCTCAAGGATTTGATTATCTGTGAAACCATAAGAAATAAATATGTTTAAAGAAACTAAAAGAGTAGGAAAACACTAATTAACAAACTGATAAGAAATTCAAATCCTAATAAAATTTAATTTGGAAGGTATTTAGAAAAAAAAAAAAAAAAACTAGTGCTTATTAATCGCGCCAGAGTAATTCAAAGAAGAGTAGGGAAGGTAATGGCCAACATTTTATAATCTCTCCGCTAATGGAGTTTCTTGAAGTCAAGAATCGGTTTAGAAGAATCGTTCCTCTAAACGACTAAACATACAATAAAACTAAAATTTGGCTTCGCCCGGAGACCTTCAGTGTGTTAGACTGACGTGATAACCAACTACACCACAAAACCATTTGTTCATTGTAATGCACTTATAAATATATGTAAGATGAAGACGAGATGAGAGGTGTGTTGTTTGACTTTGCATTTTGGTCGTTAGTATATACGGAGTATTTAATAAAGAATTAATTCTATTTTTGTTCTTATTTTGTAGTATTTTTTTTTTTTTTAAACATCTTCCTTTGTTCAATTTTTCATACCACAATACTATTAGGACCAATATTGATGTTTTGAAAAAAAAAAATAGACTAAAGTAGAATGACACATATAATTAATCTAAAAAAAAAAAAAAAAAAAAAAACAAAGACTTAACACTTAAACTAAATAGACCAAAACGGTAGCGTATTTAACGTTATTTAAACGATTTTATTAACAGAGGACCAAATATGGTCATGTCACAATAATACTAAGACCATACATAATGTTTTGAAAAAAAAAAAAGACTAAAAGTGAACTGATATATCTAGGACCAAAATTGTAATTAACTCTTTTTGGAGCGTTATGTTGTGCAACCGTGTGCATGGTAATTTCTAAACTGTATAGTTATCACGATTTGTGAATACGGAGTTCAGAAATTATGAATCCAATTCTGTGTGCTCCATGCGTAGTGCACATCAAAACTTGCATTGTTAATAACCCCAATGAAGTTTGAACCCATAACCTCCTAATTGAGATAAACATTTTATGCCGCCTAACCACAAGGCCTTTGACTATAATTAACTCTTTAATAAATATTAAAGTTAAATTTTAAATTATATGCATAAATTATTTAAATAACTAAAATGAACATTTGATCAACTCATTAAAAAAAAAAAGTAACATAAGGCTAAATGGGAAAGGTAATCATTTGAATTTAACATTACTTATTAATCTAGAATTCTAGTTTAAAAAGAAAAACTTAAAATGAAAGTATTATTATTATTATTATTATTATTATTATTATTATTATTATTATTATTATTATTATTATTATTATTATTATTATTATTATTATTATTATTATTATTATAACTGGAGAAAGGTAAATGTGGGTTAATCATGTGTATTTGTTATTAATTATTTATTCTATAATTTGATATTTAAAAAAAAAAAAAAAAGATAATAAGAGAATGTGAAAGTTTGTTATTAGTATTAGTACCCATCATTTCATTTTGAGGAGTGCGAGAATGGTAGAGTAATACATTGTGCTCACACCAGCAATTTAATTAAAGTCAATTGTTTGACTCAAAATATTAATATTGTTTAAATTCTTAAATGATTAAGATTTTTTTAAGATAATGGATAAAACTAAAAGTGTACATGCACTGATACATTTTTTTAAGATAATAACAACAAACATTATTTCAAAAGTTAAGAAACAAATTAAGCAAGCATGTGCACATGAACTGATATACATATACATGTACGAACCAAACATAAATCTGACTTAAAATGAGATACAAATTACGAAAAAAATTAGAAATATTACAAACCAAACATTTCAAAAATTTAAGGAATAAGGTTCAAATTGGCCACTGAACGTAACCTGAAAATGCAATTAGGCCACTGAACGAAAAAAAAAAAAAAGAAAAAGTGCAATTAGGCCACTGAACACTCCAAAAATGTGCAATTTCACCTGATAGCAGGTTACCCTCAATTTTAGCAGGTTATCTGCTCACGTGACAACTGAGTTGTCATTTTTAATAAATTTTAAATATTTTTTAATAAATTTTAATAATAAATTTTTATTTAAAAAAATTTTTTAAAAATAAAAACGACTTTATTTTATTTTTTATTTATTTATTTTTCAATTTTTTATAAAATTTATTATTAAAATTAATTATTAAAAATTATTTAAAAATTATTAAAAATGCCAACTCAGCTGCCACGTAAGCAGGTAACCTGCTAAAATTGATGGTAAGTTGGTAACCTGCTATCCAGTGAAATTGCATACGTTTGGAGAGTTCAGTGGCCTAATTGCATGTTTTTGGAGTGTTCAGTGGCCTAATTGCACTTTTTTTCTCGTTCAGTGGTCTAATTGCATTTTCATGTTACGTTCAGTGGCAAATTTGAACCTTATTCCTATAAAAACATATAAATGTACAAACACAACATAAACATGACTTATTTTTTTGAGTACTATTAACTCTAACATAAATAAGATTTAAAACTTAAAAAGAGACACAAAAGACAATGAAAAAGTAGTAATATTTTAGAGTAATACTACATGTACGTACTCCCACATTCTACCATATTTTATACTTCCTGCTTACATGTCACCTTTTGATTCATTAAAATATATATATATATATATATATATATATATATATATATATATATATGGGCCACAATTTTTATTACACACAACATATATCATTTTCCATATTACTAATCGTTATGCGTTGGACCCGTGTCCAGCATGCTTGCTGGACACAGGTAACAATGCCGTTAGGCACTGTTATCTCTTTTTTTTTTTTAATTTCAGACCGCTTCATTGTAAGAGTATATGTTCATAATTTTATTACTATATGTTAATAACTATACATTCATAACTCCATAACTGTACGCTCATAACTCTATAACTGTACATTCATAACTCCATAACTGTACATTCATAACTCCATAATTGTACATTCATAATTTTTGAAGCTCTATGTTCACAATTTTAGAGCTCTATGTTCATAATTTTATCACTATATGTTCATAATGTTAGAGCTCTTTGTTCATAATTCGATCAATAACTGTACATTCATAATTCCATACTGTAGATTCATAATCTCATAACTGTAGATTCATAACTCCATAACTGTACATTCATAACTCCATAACTGTACATTCATAATCTTCGAAGCTCTATATTCACAATTTTAAAGCTCCATGGTCATAATTTTATCACTATATATGTTCATAATTGTAAGTTCATAATGTTAGAGCTCTGTGTTCATAATTTCATAATTGCATAACTGTATATTCATAACGGCATAACTGTACATTCATAACGGCATAACTGTACATTCATAACGGCATAACTGTACATTCATAATCCAAAAAATAATAATAATAACGCCGTTAACGACAAAACGCGCGCGAATATTTTTTTTTTTTTTTTAACTAAATGACGCGTTTTTTTTTTCAAAAACAACGTCGTTTTGGGCCCGTGTCCACAATTCAATGTGGACACGGGTCCAGGGCATAATTTGCGCCATATTACACAGCAAACATGTAAACCAGATCATGAAACGGCCTCCTCAAACAACTATAGGTTTGTAGCCATTGTTACAATTTGCAATTCCATACGGTGCAAATAAAGCCCAAAGGCCATTTGTTGGGATCATGGCATCACCTGCCAAAATCAATCCAAATGTTTGTTTATCTCTTCATAAACAAATATATATGCATACACAACTTCGCCTAACCTTTTATTATTAAGATTAACAACTCTGATCTACAACACATGCCTAAAGTATACACAAATTAAATTTCCATATTAACGTTGTAGATATATATATCATGCATGTTGAAGTTGTAAAATATTGTTACCTAGTTTTGAGCATGCATGATAGAATTGGGTTTTTCCAAAGGTTCAGCAACAGCAAGGTAAAAAAAAACCATGACTCCAGTGTGGCTCTGACTATTGCTATAATTAGACATAATGGTTATAATCTCCCCCTCAACAATCTTGACAGAACCAGGTCGAGGATGACAAGTTGTCATTCCTACAACGTATCCCGCTTCATTTCCAGCCTCCTTTCCCTTCCCGTAAATAGGGAGGGATGAGCATATTGTCCGTCCATCCTAAAACAAATCAAAAAATAGGTGTTCAAACAATAGATTTCATGCTACACAAACACAGACCCAATTCTAAACAAGCAAAAATACCTGTCCATAAAGAGTTGAACCAATAGCTCCTGCGTGCTGGTGGGCAACAGCATAGATGACATCCCCTCCACTTGGCAAAATAACACTTGCACTTTTGGTATGAACACATTTATCATTAACCACAGCATCAGAACATGACTCCACATAATATTCAACCTGCAGAATCATATATGGAACGGTAGACCAACTGAATTATTTTTTAGGAAAAAGGGTCGGGGTTGGAAGAAGTATAATCTATATCTATATATATATATAAAAGTAAAATCCTCCTAACAAATTTTCCCCCCAAAACTTTTGTAGTAAAACTTATTTGGTAAGTAAATGTCAAATGGAAAATAAATAAATAAATTCCTCCGAACAAATTTTCCCCCCAAAACTTTTGTAGTAAAACTTATTATTTGGTAAGTAAATGTCAAATGGAAATTAAATAAATAAATAAATAAATAAATAAATAAATAATAATAATAATAATAATAATAATAATAATAATAATAATAATAATAATAATAATAATAATAATAATAATAAAAGTAAAATCCTCCTAACACATTTTCCCCCCAAAACTTTTGTAGTAAAACTTATTTGGTAAGTAAATGTCAAATGGAAAATAAATAAATAAAATCCTCCTAACAAATTTTCCCCCCAAAACTTTTGTAGTAAAACTTATTATTTGGTAAGTAAATGTCAAATGGAAATTAAATAAATAAATAAATAAATAAATAATAATAATAATAATAATAATAATAATAATAATAATAATGTTATTACCTTAAATAAATAAATTATTATATTTTCCCTTAAATAAATAAATTATTATACTTTCCTTTTGAATTAGTATTTTCTACCTATAAATACAAGAGCTTCTTCAATCAAAGAATCTCAAACTCATCTTTCTGCTTTCTTTTTGTATGAATTTTCTACATTTTTCTAACTATATTCTCACGTACTTCAATATGTTTTGTAGTTTGGACATCATGAATAGCTTCATCAACGATATCTTCTTGAAGCTTGCCCAAGAGGTGACTCGCTTGGCCCACTACAACAAGAAGCCGATAATCACTTCCCGCGAGATTCAGACCGGCATGAGATTGGTTTTTCCTGGCGAATTGGTAAAGCACGTTGTCTCTCTAAAAACACTAAAGCAGTCACCATATTTACAAGCTCTTAGATGAAATCATTTAAATCTATGTTTCCTTTTTATATAATCTCAATTAGGGGTTAATAGATGTAAAGTAACTTGGATTTGAGTTTAATTTCATATTATTCTTCCAAAAGGTTTAATTTCATATTATAAGTATTGTTATCTACCTTCAACTATCAGTGAATCGATTAACATTCTCAAAAAAAAAAAAAAATTGAATGTCTATATCTACGTGCATTTAAGATGCAACATGTGTATGATTCATTAGGCTTTGAGGCAGAAGAACACATCTGGGTATATTGCATATTAGTGGATCTGTATCTCATTGCAAAAAAATATCCATACAATTAATTAATTAATATAATTACAATTATCATTATTCTAATTCAAAAAAAAAAACTAAAGAATTAATTGTAATAATAAAATTTGTTATTAATATTCTGTTACTAATTGACACAGAAATCAGACCAAAAGAAAAACGAAATTAATATTAAAAATGGACTCGAATTAAAAAATGTGCTTAATAAGTAAATAACTAATTTGCTAGACAGAAAATTTGGGTAAAGGAAAAAGAAAATGATTATTAAACTTTGTACCATATTATTTTTATGATTGAAAATGAATATTACAAACGTACCAGATTGTTTTTATGACCAGAAATAAGAATGAATTTTACACACGAAAATCTATTATTAATATTCTGTTATACTAATAGGCATGGGAATCATGCCAAATGAAAAAAGGATTTAATATTAAAAATTTATTGGAAATATAACACAGTTTTCCCTACGAAAAAAATTAGTAACCACCAAATGAAATATTAGGAAAAAATTATGAAGAAAAAAGAAATGGAAACAAATATTAACTCTTTCTATGAATGAAAAAAAAGGAAATGAATATATCCATATTTCACTTAAAATATAATCAGTAATTATATTATTATAATTATATTAATTATTTATGAAGAAAAAAGGAAATGAATATGAAAGGAAAAAATAAAATTTAGACACGAAAGTCTATTATTAATATTCTGTTACTAATAGACACGGAAATTAGGCCAAATGAAAAAAAAAAAAGATTTAATATTAAAAATTTATTGAAAATATAACACCGTTTTCTTTACGAAAAAATTAGTAACCACCACGTGAAATATTAGAAAAAAATTATGAGGAAAAAAGAAATGAAAATGAATATTAACTCTTTCTATGAGTGAAAAAGGAAATGAGTATATTCATATTTCACTTAAAATATAATCAGTAATTATATGATTATAGTTATTATAATTATATTAATTATTTATGAAGGAAAAATGAAATGAATATATTAATAGTTTACTGGAAATATAATCAGTAATTATATTTTTATAATTATATTACTTTTTAATTACGTGGAAATGAATATTAATTCTTTTTATGAACGAGAAAGGAAATGAATATTTCACAAAGAAATCTGTTATTAATATCATGTTACTAATCGACATGAAAATCAGGCCAATTAATCGACAATTATTAAGAAAGATGAATAAAAATCAATATTAATTCTTTTTATGAAGGAAAAAAAAAAAGAAATAAATATATTCAAAAGAAAATGAAATATGAAGAAAAACGAATGAATATGTTTATATTTCACTAAGAATATAACACAGCTTTTGGCACAGAAATCAGACCAAAAGAAAAAAGAAATTAATATTAAAAATGGACTCGAATTAAAAAAAAAAAAAGTGCTTAATAAGTAAATAACAAATTTGCTACACAGAAAATTAGGGTAAAGGAAAAAGGAAATGATTATTAAACACATACCAAATTGTTTTTGTGATTGAAAATGAATATTACAAACGTATCACATTGTTTTTATGACTAGAAATATGAATGAATTTTACACACGAAAATCTATTATTAATATTATGTTACTAATAGGCATGGGAATCATTCCAAATGAAAAAAGGATTTAATATTAAAAATTTATTGGAAATATAACACAATTTTCCCTACAAAAAAAATTAGTAACCACCAAATGAAATATTAGGAAAAAATTATGAAGGAGAAAGAAATGGAAACAAATATTAACTCTTTCTATGAATGAAAAAGGAAATGAATATATCCATATTTCACTTATAATATAATCAGTAATTATATTATTATAATTATACTAATTATTTATGAAGGAAAAATGAAATGAATATGAACAGAAAAAATGAATTTTACACACGAGAATCTATTATTAATATTTTGTTACTAATAGACACAGGAATCAGGCCAAATGAAAAAAAGATTTAATATTAAAAATTTATTGGAAATATAACACCGTTTTCCCTACGAAAAAAATAGTAACCACCACATGAAATATTAGGAAAAAATTATGAAGGAAAAAGAAATGAAAATGAATATTAACTCTTTCTATGAGTGAAAAAGGAAATGAATATACTCATATTTCATTTAAAATATAATCAGTAATTATATGATTATAATTATTATACTTATATTAATTATTTATGAAGGAAAAATGAAATGAATATATTAATATTTTATTAGAAATATAATCAGTAATTATATTTTTATAATTATATTATTTTTTAATCAGAAAGGAAATGAATATTTCAAACAGAAATCCGTTATTAATATCCTAATCGACATGGAAATCAGGCCAATTAATCGACAATTATTAGGAAAAATGAATATAAATAAATATTAATTATTTTTATGTAGGAAAAAAAAAGAAATGAATATACTCAAAAGGAAATGAAATATTAAGAAAAAAGAATGAATATAATATATATGAAATACAATTTGTAATAAATCAATTTAATTTTATAAATTTTTTCTATAAACTTATCTAAATATGTACATGATTAGATATTATACTAACCATACAATATTTTAATTTTAATTTTGTATGTTATGAAAATAGATACTTGACCAAATATATAAAAGTCCAACTATATTATTATATTGTACATTTTCAAATCTTTTTATTTTACTAATTTAATTTTAAATTCATAATAACAAAAAAAATTCTCGAGTAAAACACTATATTTTAAAAAATACAATTTGAAAAATATCATAAATTAATTAATACAATATCATTTATGTTTATAATAATTAAAGAAAAAAATAAATAATTCAAATATGTGAACCAATAATTTCAAAATAAAATTAATATATAGTTACAAATAAATATAGCATGATTACATTTACTTTAATTAGTTTTAATTCCCTTAATGATATGACTTTTCTTTATCAGATGTTTATGGGAGGCTAAGGGAGTGTTGAGTTGGTGGAATTTTTATTTTTTTTAAATACTTACTAATAAAAAATAATTTTAAAATAGTTTGTAACCCCTCATACCATTTGTAAATCTTATATTTTTTAAACAATACAATTTGATAAATATCATAAATTAATTAGTACAATATCATTTCTGTTTATAAATTATAATAATTAAAAACAAATTCAAATATGTGAACCAATGATTTCAAAATGAAATTAATATACAGTTACAAATAAATATAGCATGATTAGATTTTTTTTTGAAAGCATAGCATGATTAGATTTACTTTAATTAATTTTAATTTCCTTAATGAAATGACATTTCTTTATCAGTTTTTTTTTTTTTATGGGAGGTTAAGGGAGTGTTTGGATTGTTGAAAAATATTTTAAAATAAAAATACATACAAATAAAAAATAATTTAAAAGATTTTTTAACCCCTCATAACATGTGTAAATGTTATATATTTTTAAAAATACAATTTGGTAAATATCAAATTTTGTGTTTATAATAGTTAAAGAAAAAAATAAATAATTCAAAAATGTGAACCAATGATTTCAAAATGAAATTAATATACAATTGCAAATAAATATAGCATGATTAGATTTACATTAATTAGTTTTAATTTTCTTAATGAAATGACTTTTCTTTATCAGTTTTTTTTTTTTTTTTGGGAGCCTAAGGGAGTGTTTATCCTGCTGGAAAATATTTTAAAATAAAAATACATGCTAATAAAAAATAATTTGAAATATTTTTTAACACCTCATAACATGTGTAAATGTTATATAAATACAATTTGATAAATATCATAATTTTTGTTTATAATAGTTAAACAAAAAAATAAATAATTCAAAGATGTGAACCAATGATTTTAAAATGAAATTAATATACAGTTACAAATAAATATAGCATGATTATATTTACTTTAAGTAGTTTTAATTTTCTTAATGAAATAACTTTTATTTTTCAGTTTTTTATTAGAGACTAAGGGAGTGTTTGGGTTGCTGGAAAATATTTTAGAAATAAAAATACTTACTAATAAAAAATAATTTTAAAATATTTTTAATCCCTAAACATGAGAAAATTTTACATTTAAAAAAAATACAATTTGATAAATATTATAAATTAATTATTGCAATATCGTTTATGTTTACAACGAGAATAATTAAAGAAAAAATAAATAAATCAAATATGTGAACCAATGATTTCAAAATGAAATTAATATAACATGATTAGATAAAGTGACTAATGCCCCTCTTTTGGGTGAAAGGGCTGGCCTGGAGATTTAAAGTTGCTCAATTCCCAAAGGCAATGATCAAATCCTTGCCTTTGGTTAATAAGGATGGATGCGTCCCTTCCACTCAACCACACCCTCCAAGTTCTTAGTGAAATGACTTTAATAAAAGTAAAATCCTCCTTTACAACATCCCAACCCAAATTAATATGAATATTAATTAATTAGTAAAAAATAATAAAGCTTAATTGGTAACAAAATTTTATATGAAAATTAACTAATATCTAATGAATTGTTACCACAGATTAAAGTCAATATGTATATAAAAATGAAAAATGGTTACCAAATAAAAACAATCCTATAAAAAGGGGTCATAATAAAAATAACAGTAAAAACAATCCTATAAAAAAATTGAAAAAAAAAAAGATTCATAATTTATGAAAAATAAAAAATGAAATGGAATTCACTGAATAATTAATACTAATAAT